AAGTCATAGATGAATTAATTGTAAATGTACTGCAACATTACCAAGTCTGATCAACATAGGCTTGTTGATTGTACCTAAGCGTACTAAAAAAATACCAAGTTTAATCAAAGTAAACTTGAGACATTATGAACAGCAGTATAGAAAGATGACATCATCTGGACAAAGCACTTTGATTGTATTAGAAGTACTGAAAGATAACCAAGTTAGAACAACATTGACTTGCCGATTGTACCCACTGTGTACCGAAAAATGCCAAGTTTGACAAAAGTAAACTCAAGACAATACGAAATAATACAGTAATAGAAACGGGATGTACTGAAAGAACACTAAGTTTAAAACTTAGACTTGCTTTTAGAACCAGATGTGTACTTAAAACGATACCAAGTTTGACAATCAAGATTTGAGACCAAGCAAAAGAGACTGCAGTAATACTTGTCAATGCTGAAAAATAATTAGCTCATCTCATCACAAAATGCATCAGACCCATGAACCTATCATTCACCAGATCAGTGATGGTTGCAGAACACTTCACAATATGCTATACAATTCTTTAATATCTTGTCTTTAAATATTAATAAATGATATAATACTCAACATGTTATGTTGTCAATGTTTATTGATTTTCTCCCAAAAGTCGAAGAAAATAGTTCTTAGAATGGTTTCGTTCTAAATATACAATATGCACACACTACAAAGTATCAGGGCATTCTTGGAAACTTTATGGGTGTATACTCAACTGCAAAAGGAAATATTAGAAAACAACTTTAGATGTCAACTAAATGACTTGTCTTTTGAATTAGCTGTTAGCAAGGCACATTTCAATTAAAGAACTGAAGATATCATTAGAAAATGAACAATATGTTTTGTATCAAAGCAATCGGACTTGCTGTTTTTAACAAAAATTCAAAAATATTTCTTTACCAAAAATGACAAAAATATTAATCAAAATTAGATAATTGAAGATATCATCACGAAATGAACAAATCTGAGAGAGGTCCACATGTAGTACCTACCGGTATATATGTAATATCAAAGCAATTGAACTTGTTGTTTTTAACAAGAAGTCGAAAATATCACTTTTCACCAAAAATAGAGATTTGGACATGAAATGAATAAAATTGACCAAGAAAGAACCATCCAAGGTACTTGCATATCAAAGTGTTGAAATTGTAAAGTTGACAACGGACAATCAGTAATATGAACGGCAGTGGAGCTAAAAAGTTGACATGGACGTCGACGAATAATCACTCATATAAGCTCCGCTCGACAGTGGAGCGAGCTAAATATAAATAAATTTTTCCAAAAAATGTTCAGGCAGTACTGTAGGTTTCACACTACAATTATTTGTATCAAGCACACATAACCCATCCAATTTTGAAAGCAACTTTTTTGAAAAGGATGTCATGTATTTCATTAATTATGATCCTGAATATGCACGCCTTAGATTTGTGATTGGAATGTTGATGAAAACCAACTGGTTTTGAGGCGAGACGATACATTAAGAATGAGCAGTCAGCAGAGTTGACTTTTCAAAATACTAGTGTTGCAAATTGGCTTCATTTTTGGGATGATGCTGATTTTAAAAACTTCACAAATTGCTTTGTAAATTTTCATTTACAAGGGGGTTTACTGCTTGTTTTCTGTATGAAAATATAAACCTTGCAAACAAACCTTGACACAGATACTTAATTCCTCGTCACCTATTCTATTTATTGCTGATGATAATGAATTATGAACACAATTTGTACACTGAGAGTTGTCTACATGTATGGCAGATACAAATAAATTAATCAAACTATAAGGCCTTTGCCTTATAGTTCATTAATTTATTTGTATCTGCCATAAGTAATGTAAAAATCACATGCTTGCAAAATCAAAATTTGTATTTAACATCATGTACCGGTAATGTACATACTATGATAAGTTAGCAAGCAGCTGTCAAAAACACCATATCTGAATAAAACAATCTTCTAAATATGTCATAAAAAAGAGCAATCAACATACATTTCCAGTTTTGACCTAAAACTTAAAATATTTTCATGAAAATCAAATGAAGGTACACTCACTAATAGTATAGTTTATATATTCAGCCATGCATTACTTGTTTTGTAAATTGAAAACCAACAAACTTAGTAAAAAAAACAAATGTCTGCCATCATTCTGTTTCATAAAATTGTATTTTGGATTTATATATTACATACAAAAACACAAATATATAGGTTTGCAGTGTTTAATTTTATTAGGCTCATTATTTCAGATCAGAATTATATTGTATTTGCATATTATGATGTTAAGAAAATGTTTGGCACATCACAATGGACATTTTATACTAATATGAATGTACATGTAAATCTAGCCAAGGCAATCAATGTAAATCAAGCCAATCACAATTGAATAATCTGCTACTTGAAGATCTGGTACCTGCACAATTTAATCTGGTTTCCCTGCCTACTAGTCTGTGATTATCAATATTTTGTGTGTACTTTTCAATTCATGCAAAACAGCACCATGGGATATTAAGTAAAAGCAATATTCATAAATAGCACCTAAACCCCCAGAAAACAAATATTTCTCTCTAGTTATTTGCATGCTGTAGCCAGTGATCCAACAAGGTACATATGTAGGTATCTTGCATGTATTTAATGTTTACTTATTTCTTATGTATCTTATGACCTTAAAGTGGTCCTGAGAATTATTTAGACAGTCAGTTTGCAGGATAGTGTGCTCTGTAGGATTCACTGTTGAGATTATCAACATAGTGATTTTCTTCATTTCTTGAGTATCCACATTGTATGTGATTCAAAAACAATTTTTAAACACTTCAAGATAACCTGCTCATATATTCTAACGAATGATCTAAACTGTGCATGTGTCAAAGGATCGGCGCCATCAAGTCTAAATTGGACATAATGCAAAGTTACAAGGCATCTTGCTGACTGACTGACTAATTCTCAGAATGGCTGTAAAAGGTGGTGGTTGTCGTGTAGCACATTAATGCATAAAATCTATGTTTATATATTCATTAATATCTTGATTAATATGTGTCGCAGCGGCCACCACCTTTAAACTATGATTTAGGTCAAAAGTAAAATACAATACTGTGTATATGTTATTTGTTAATATGAACATCGCACGGATCCATATCTTATTTTACTCTTTGATGCTAGGAGTGGCTGGATGCTAAAGTGGTTTTTGGCAGTCTCAATGAGTAATCAATACTTCCAAGTGATGTTTATTGGCACCTTCATTGGCAATGACATGTCCGATACAGTCAACATCTGCAAAACCAAGTTTACAGTTAGAAATAAATTATGATGATGTAATGTATTTCTGATATTCTGTTATCAAACCATGTGGCAACTTTGCAACCTTGTAGCATGTACAAAGATGTATCCCTCTACAAGCAAGCATGCTCTAAAAACAAAGACAAAAACGAAGTGTTTTCTGAAAATGAACATAGAGGGTGCTATTTGAAAAGAATGAATAAATTTGTTGAAATAAAATGTAGATTTTCAATTCATTACCTACCTGTGTTTTGCTATCATATGTAAAAGTTGCTGCTTTACCATTGGCTGAAACACTGGTTGGTTGCTTAGCAACACCAAACACTCTTGTTGAACCCAGCTCCATTTTATCAGCATATGGATATCCATTTTTAATAACAGTGGAAGTGATTTTATTATCAACAGCTGAAAACTTCATAAATATGTATTTGCCATTTTCATAAGTACCTATTGATATATAAAAAGAAGATTCAGATATTTGAGTAAAAAAGTATTATGGTGGTAATACTTATACAAACAACAGGGAGAAATATTTAGATTTATTTAAATGACAAGCAAGGGTATAATATCCACATTATAATTAATATTCACATCAGTTGTGAATAAGTTAAAAAATGGTTGTCCCTTGTAATGATTTGAGGCTATGACGTTTAGTTTAGTTATTTGCATAATGATATTGATACATTGTATGGAACATCTCGTGAGTATTTAGACTCAGTTCCAGGGCCTAGCAGTTGAGAATAAACACCTTGGCTACAAGTGCTCCTCTCCAGTGTTATTCTCCTCCCGGATCTGGTGACCAATACTCACTTTGTTCACTCTACCTTGAGAAGTCTGTTCTCAGTTTACATCCCTGTTCAAATAATTTCTAAAAACAATTACTTTTCTTTTTTAAATTTGAATACTGTAATATAAACATGATTTTCTCAAAAACGAAGCTCTGTTTTTTATTATTGCTTTTACATTATAAAAAGAATAATATCTGAATGTAAATGAAAAAAATTCTCTGTTTTTGTGAAACTGAATTGCTTATACTGAACATCCTGCAAACTGAATTCTTCACTTTTAAAACACAGCTGCCAGGTTCATCTGTCCATGTGAAAACCGTGCTCTTGTATGAGCAACCAATCAGAGCTCGTTACAGACCACTCTCTAATAAGACATGGTCTAAATGGTTGACAAATCTCTTTAGTAGGAGCTGCCTATGGTCAGATGTAGATGATGTACACCAGAGCCTCTACCAGCAATTTTAATCAAATTTTTGTGACACATCTTGACAAGGTGCTTTACACATCAGCAGGCGTACAGTAACTATACTGTTTACTAACTTAATGTGTCGCCGTCATCCCAGAATAACTCTCCATTAGCTACAGAACCCATCGACATTGCTACAATCAGTCCATATTTGTTATTTCTACTAGCAGTAGTGGTGGTATTAGGATCCTGTGTCGGCAAGATACGGCCGCCTCTCACGTGTAGGTTAAGTTTATCTAGCGGAGCATCTAGGGTTATCATTTTTCCTTTACTTGGTTGACTGGTCACTCTTGTACCCTGGATAAAATGAATAATGTAACTGATAAATAGAGACATATCAGAATCAAATCATATGTAAATCCAAAAATGTCTTGGAATTCCATTTCACTTGGTTTTATAAAGCCTACACTCTTAAATACATAATGGACATATCCTGACATACACTGTCATTTAAATAAGAAGAAATGTCAAAATGCAATGGTTTATTTTCTACCTTAAAGTTGCAACCTGAGTTTTATTGGGGTCTTGAGACCATGACAAACATAGGATAGTTTGAATAAATTGTGCATTATGAAAAAACAAACAAGGAATCATGAGAATTCTGATTTGTTTTGAATCACTGTGACCCACAGAAGTAGTTTAAAACGAAAGCATACCTTTGAATCAACGTGTGTTGGAGCACTATATAAAAGTTCAAATACTAATTAAAATTGGTAGCTGATAGATACTCTGTAGAGTATTTGCATTTGAACATTTATTATATATTTTTCACAATCGCCACTAATTCAGCATCACACATCAAATGGTGTCACATAATAGTCCCAAGAGACCCCAATAAAGCTATAGAAATGATCAGAGGTACATTACTTGGGGTTTGCAACTCGCATAGTACTGTATGGTGACATCATGTCAAGATCCAATTCAAGTCACTTCTCGTAGATAGCGAGACTGAGGCTACGACCTTCTGACATGACACATATCAATGTTCAAGGTTTGTAATGAAAAAATAAAACTTTTCTTGTCGCTATCATAGTGAAAAATGTAATACATCGAAAATGTACAGAAAATATAGTTCTCGTAATCCGTCATACCGTGGGCAGCTATTTTGATCCACCTGGACATCCCAGTATCCTAGTTACCTCGGGCATGCGCATTCGCATTTTTCTGAGTTGGAACGCTTATGCGAGAGCGAGATTGTGACGGGATCTTGGTATCATGTCACCGTAGTTACAAACCCCAAGTAATGTACCTCTGAAATGATGTAATGGTTATTGCACAGTATTCAATATATGGGTCTCATTAGACTGGCACAGTCGGGGCGATTAATTTGTTTTTTTTAGTGTAAATAAAATAAAAAATTTCGCGAAATCATCCCGACTGGTTTATTCTGCAGGAAATTCATTGCTATTACATATTCATGAAAGCACATATTATAATGAAGTGGGCGCAGAAATACGTGCATAATGAGGTCAACATGGTAAAGGTCACACTGCACACCCAACATGGCGGCACATTGAAATTGTTGTAGTCGTCGTAAATAGACTTAAAAAGTAACTCGTACTAGTCGTAGAATTAAAAAAAAACACACCTCCATTTCGCGATTTTTCTTATTTTATTTAAACTAGAAAAACAAATTAATCGCCCGACAGCGCCAGTCAAGGGTCCCATATCAATGAATACATTGTTTGTTCAAGTTCAGTACAATGACATTGTTCTCATGCAATGCACTATGGGAATTTTATGCAAATAGCAACCATACATAAGAATCTTGTATCACAAAGAATGGCCATAATACTTACAGTGTAAAAATCATACCAGGTGTCAGCCGGAAAATAAGCATTGACACTGGTCGCATTCTCCTCTAATACTGGTGATATGAGTAAAGATGATCCCCACAGAAACTGTCTGTCAATGGTGAAGGCCTCTTGGTCCATTGAGAATCTACAGTGAAATTTTGGCAAAATATATTGTAATTGTACACTAGCTTCAGTTGTATATAATTTACAGCAGACTGATTATGCAAATGGTTGCAAGATCTCATGGAGTAAAAGAGCCTTTCCACTACTACTACGCCGTTCTACATAACCATGGTATTCAGAAAAAATGAAACACGAATTTGGCAACAAAAACAATCAAATGGATCGATTGGTGATTTTCGGCTCACTGTCAGACCAGATATCTGCTGCACAAATTGAATGATATGATTTTGAACTTAAATTTTTTTTTTTGTAGCTCAATGTCAAAATGTTGATCTTTGAGAGGGAAATATGACATTGAGATATCCTTACTTC